TAAAGACGTATCTAAATAGGCTGGCATCACATGCCCACCTGGCCTGCAGCCAGGTCCCTTACAAGGATTAGTCATTGTTCCAGCGGCCGGGTCCGCGCCGCGCCGGAGCGCGCTCCTAGCACACGGCAAGCAGGGCCTGTATGGCACGGGCGCAGGCGAGAGGCGGCCAAGCAAATCAGTTCAACGAGCACAGCCCTAGGAAGGGCCACGCAGACTCCCTTATCTTATTTATGCAACCACTGAAGTCAACACTAAGCTAGTTCTGTACTTCAGGAACATGTTCTCATGCCGAGTTTATCAAAATGAAGGTCTACAGAAGAAATCAGCTGCTACAGCAAATACGCAGCACACTGGTAAGCCCATTTTCCTTGCCTCAGAAGCATCTTTCTAAGAYGCTTCAGTTCCCTTTCTCCCCAGCTAGGTATTCTAGGGAGTTCTCTGCCTTTCAGCTGTTTTTCTACCACAACAGTTCAGGGCACAGCTAATGCTTGTAAAGATGCTGCACCTCTGCTGTAAAGCAGAAAGCCACAAGTCACCTGTTTCCCAGAACCAGAGCATTTCTGATCTCCGAAGGGTAATCAAAAGATATTTTTAACTGGTTGCAGTGTCTAGAATAGTGTATTAACTGAGTAATGAGCTGCAGTTAGAGCAGTCCTGCAGCATGATGTAAGAGTTGCAGTAGTAGAGAAATACTGAATTAGTGCTGATTATGCATCCCTAAACATCCCCACACTGAGTCAGTGTTTAATCATTACTCCACCACAGGCTCCACAGGCTGTGAAACCGTGCAGTGATGAAGTGAACTGTGCACCAGCAGATCCAATTCCTCTCTCGGCACGTAAAGAGTCGTAGCTTTAACACCTGCCAAATGCAAGGGCAGTAATTTGGTACTGTTCAAGAACAGCATATATGAACAAAGAAACATTCGATAGATCAAGAATGCCACTTTGCAAGACCACGGTACAAAACCAGAGCGCTCTGAGCAAATTACTCTTTTAGTTCACTCAGCCTCTGAGTCCAAACTTGCCTGGTCACAGGGCTGTAAGCCAGTGACTGAGCACTCTGCCAAAATGCAAACGCTGCAGTCACCGCAGGCCCTGAGGAACGGCTTTAGACGAGGACAGGCTGTGGGACGCAACCCTAGTTTGACAGCAGCTTTGATTTACTTCCCTAACCCTTTGAGGCCAGCATTATTCTTAACTCGGCGTGCACTGTACAGGCTGCATGTTGGTTTCCTTCCCCACTGTAAGGAGATGTAGCCAAGCACCCTGTGGGCCTAGAGAGGCCTTTCTGCAGAGGGTGCAGCAAAGGGACTGCTGCCTTAAGGAGCACGGGTTGCACCAAGGGACTCAGCTCCCACCTGCAAGCAGAGCTGCAAGCAGAAGAAGTCTCTGAACTGTGGGCCCTACAAAGCCAAAACACGAGCCTTGGCACAGGCACAAGGACCAGAGGCCACGCAATGCAGCAGAATAAACAGCAATAGGAAACTGAGGCTTTCTGTTTACCTCTGGTGCACAGCTCCAAATATCCCCTGATAAGGGTCCTGCGCTGACACAGGCACTGAGCCCACCTACTTGAAAAACTGGACTACCTAAAGTTATTCAAAAGCCGGGAGCTTCTGTAGCAAGTACATTATTTTAAGGACTGTCAGCCTGGGTAGCAATGGCATTTTGCAAGTTTTCACTAATTTTAGGTGAGTGAGCCTTAACCCTTTTTTCCAAGTAGGCTGAAGTGGGCAGTCTAGGAATCAGTTTTAGAGAGGCCTTAAAAGAGTGTTAATAAGGGGCTAGTTCTCCAGACAGTTCCAGCACATCTCTACCCTTTGTTTCTAGCATCCTAAGCAKAGTGCTCATATCCCAGGGCACTGCTTCCATACTGGTGTGAGGCTCTGGAGTGTCACAAGCCCCAGGATCAAGGGCAGTCTATAAAGCTGCAGTCTGCTCTCCTTAAAGGATTAAGTGACTGAAGCAGCTACACAGACTATTTGAGCAAAGTTCTTGTTGACCCACTTGCCCAGGGACACTACTGCCCTAGAAGCTGAAGATCACCTGGAACTTAGGTGAGCTAGAAAGGAAAATGATGCAGTAAGAAATAAAATTTCAATTGCTTTATCTAGCATGAAGTAGTCATCTCCTTTTCTGAAAGCTGTTTTCCTGAATTCCAGGAAATATAAGTGTAGAACAGTGACACTTGCTGGGTTACCAGCCTGCAGTGTGTCTACAGCCCCTATCAGCTGAAGCCTCCACACAGAAGATACCTCAGAATGGAGGGACTTGCCTAAGCTGCTGGTGGGGAGCAGGCTGCAAGAACAGGGCCCACTCTGAAGCACAGTGCAAAAAGAGCAAGTCGAGCAGGTTTAAAAGGATAGTGTTTCCCCATTACTTACAGCACTGAACACTGACACACAAGATTTATTGTCAAGATGAAGCTGCATAGTAGCTGCTTCCCAAAAGGTTCAAAAAGTCCCTGTTTTAGCCACCCCCATGTAGCAGGTTCTGCGACAAGTTTGAACAGCTGTGTGAGCCTATCTTCAGCTGAAAACAAGGAGGGCTAAGTTGCCAAGTAAGCTGTTCTGCTGAAGCCTCTTCTGCACAGGCCTTTACCTGGAGCGTGCTCGAGAGCCACTTGTGAAGGCCCCGTGCTGCTCCCAGGGCATCCCGAGCACCTGCAAGCCTCGGGGGTACTGGAAATTAAGAGCATAGTAGCACAGGATTCAAGGCATGAGGTTGTTCTACTCTTTACCTCCTAAGCTACAGTGAGGGTTGAAACACAACACGAGTGGAAAGCTTTCCAATAAAGGCCCCGGGGAAGCTCTCCAGTAAACAGATTTAGCCAGATGCTATGAGACATGAGTTCAACCATTTGCTATCAAGCTCAGTGTTTTTTGCAGAAGTTAAGCTTTAAGATCTAGACAAAGCAATAACGATAGAATGACCCTTAAGCGAAGTTTAAAAACATTGTGACAAGCAGCCTAACGGCTTCTTTGGGAACTTGCATCTCCGTGTCCTCTGTGCAAGTGTTTCCATTTCAGCACACTGTTCTCCAGCCATAACACCGGGCTGTCCAGTAACTGCTGGCAAACTCTGATAWGAGACAAGGCATCTAGTCCCACGTTGCTTAACACTTTAATGGTGGTTTCTACTTAAAACACAGCCTTTTAAGTGTGACACAGGCAAATTAATCCATCTCCTCATGTTTGTGCACAGCCACTGCTGGAGGAAGTGGGAAGGTCATCTATCACTTTCAGTGACCACAGCCAGCTGTCAAATGAGATTTGCCAGTGGCTACTGCCTGTGATGCTCTTGGGAAAAGCTCCACTCCAGAGAACTAGTAAAAATCTTGTCCTAAATGCCTGGTACCAGATCTATTTTTTAGAATTACAGTAATCCAAATTCTATCTCTTCTCCCATGAGGGAATTTGCATACTGGCAATATGGTCTCACCCAGGGAACATCACTCTGCACAACTGCAGAAAATACCTGCTCTGCAGTCCTCCCCCACACAGAGGGGACCCAGAACTCTCACTTTTACTGCTCATGATAGATATCAATGTGCACATACTACACGGGCAACGTGCACAGTGGGGCACAACTGGAAAGAGAGCGATCGTGCACTACAAGAGAGGTTCCTGGACACAAACACACACACACAGAGRGATGCAGGGAGCACCTTCCAGAACAGACTGCTTAGGTAACAACACRGAGGAGGGAAAAAGGAAGAAGAATGAAGGTCACAGTGTACGTGTGTATTCTGGTCACTTCTAGGTCTTCCTTGGAAGGAGAATCTAGAACTTTCTACTCCAAACAGGATACTCTTGGCCAACCTACAGCCTGGAAGCTGTTTCTGTTTTTTAGCCTTATGGGAGAAAAAGCCAATGGTAATTAAAGGTAAAGCTCTGTAAGGCTTAAATACCTCCTGCAGCAAGGRGAAGGGCTCCACTTCTTCCTGATAACCGGGCAGCTGAAGCACCATCAAGCCCAGGTGTCCCTGCTGGAGCAGGGGGGTTGGACTAGATSATCTCCAGAGGTCCCTTCCACCCTTAACCACTCTGGGGTTCTTTCCAAGCCRGCCCTTGTTAATGGGTCCCCACACACAGGCCAAACACAGACCACAATCCTGCTCGAGCCTATGCTCCCAGCCCAAAGGGCATCCACTGAACCCACAACAGCTTAGCAACATCGGAATTAAGGCAGCATCCCCTGAGTCAGTCTGGATCTCGGTCAAGCTGCCTTTTACAAGCAAAGCTGCGCTAAGCTGAGAGTATTACTGGTTTCCAGTACCCCACGGCTCCAAGTCACCTAAAGACRGTCCGCGCCCCAAAGCGCCCCAAAAGGCTGAGCCCCGCGGCACTGCCCGGCCACGCTCCGGGGCCCGCGGCACCCGGCACCACGGCTCTCCCGAAGCTCCCTGCCTTCCTGCAAGGGCCGGAGCGGAGCCCACAGGCTCTCCCGGGGCCCGGCAGCCGCCGCAGCCCTGCTTTCTCATCGCTTCGCTTGTATTTTAACCACAAAGGGGGCCCGAAAGGCCCCTGCCGTCACCACTCGGGAGCCCGCCACGAGGCCCGGCGCTGGTTTTTTTCCGCGTTTTGCTCCTACTTTAAGCACGAAGGAGACCGAACCCGCCGCCTCACCCACACGGGGCGCCGAGCCGGCCGCCCGGGCCCGGGCACACACGGGCCGGCGGCGGCGCGGGCCGCGGCTCCCCGGTGCGGCCTCCCCGAGGCGGCCGCCGCGCCGCCCGCCAGGGCCGCGGGCGAGGCCGAGCCCGCCACGAGGCCCGGCGCTGGTTTTTTTCCGCGTTTTGCTCCTACTTTAAGCACGAAGGAGACCGAACCCGCCGCCTCACCCACACTGGGCGCCGAGCCGGCCGCCCGGGCCCGGGCACACACGGGCCGGCGGCGGCGCGGGCCGCGGCTCCCCGGTGCGGCCTCCCCGAGGCGGCCGCCGCGCCGCCCGCCAGGGCCGCGGGCGAGGCCGCGGGCGCGCCGGGGCCCCGCTCACCTTGACGCGGATCTCGTAGGTGGTGAAGCGGCCGCGGCCCACGCCCACGGTCTGCGGGTTGCCCACGTCGATCTCCAGGAAGTTGCTGGGCGGCCCGTAGGCGTCGTTGAGGTTCTGCGGCTTGCTGATGAGGCGCCGCGTGTCCGCGATGGTCTCGGCCATGGTCGGTGCCGCGCCGCGCCGCTCCGCTCCTCTCCTCCCCCGTTCGGGAGCGCGGGCAGGACGCGCGCGCTCCGCCCGCCCTCTTATCGCCCCGCCGCCAGCTGACTGCCCAGCAACGCGAAACCCACGCCGCCGCCCGGCAGCGGCGGATGCGCCCGCCGCCCCCGCGCAAGGCACCATGGGCGTTGTAGTCCGGCTCCGCGGGGCCGCGCGCTGCGTCCGGGCGGGGCCACCCTCCTCCCGAACTACAGTGCCCAGCGGGCGCAGAGGCTCGGCTTATCGGGCCCGCCCGCGCGGCGGCTGTGGGGAGCTGCGTGAGGGCGGTGTGCGGCTGCCGTTGGGGAGGCCGTTTCCGAGCGGGGTCCCCGTGGGGCCGGGGACCCTTCCWGCCGGGCGGGAGGCAGCTCGGGCCGTGGCGCAGGGCCCCTCCGGTCTCCGTGTAACATCCCCTCTCCATCCTCATCTAAGGGGCAGAGAGCAGCGGTGTCAGCGCGTAGCTCGAGCCTCCGAGGGGCTGCCTCAGCYGAGGGGTCATCCAGGAGGGTTTGCGTCTGCCCAGGGCACCCCCGGGACCTGCCGTCCTCTGAGCCAAGGAAAACACCCCAGGAAAGAGCCACCTTCCCAAGGAGCCTGTGCTCCAAGTGCAACTGGGCCAGAAGGACGAGCAGGACACGGCAGAACGTACAGGGGTTGTCAACACAGCACAGGGATCCACTTCTGTCAGCATMAACATCTACCATAAACCAGATCTACCATAAACAGCATAAACACCTCCACACAAGCAACTAAATCCATTAAATGGTTTGAGCAGTGCAATAATACATGCCATAACATACAGTACGTACAATAACATAACGCATAACTTTGAGCCAGAACAGCTTCACCAACAGGTCTTAAAAAAATAATTAAAAAAAAAAAAAAGTACGTCCACCCATTGATCCATTGCAGATGGGGAATCCAAAATAATGTGAGGCCGGTAAATAAACACGGCAGGAGCGCCAGCGCTCCGCCCCGCAGGCAGGCCTGCCTCATTAGGGAAGGCTCTGAAGGGGATAATGAGTTTGTTTTGCAGATATTTACAAGCATGTGGGTGAAATTAATGAATGAATAGTGGAAGCTGGCTGGCATCATGGGCTGATTAGAGTTATCAGGTGCCATCTCCATAATGAATAAGTAGTGGCTTGTTTTGTTTCTATGAAGCAGAGAAGGGAATGGTAAAGGAAYTCAAAGGTTATTCTCTTAAAGCAAGAGAATAAGAAATGATCTTCATGATGGGAGCATGAGTGATCTTTGCTTCCCTAAAGTGTATGGGGAAAAATAAAAGACTTTATTGTGTTTCCCCCCAAAAAAGCTGGGGGGTGCAGGCAGGGAGTTTAGGACCTTGAAGAAGAGAGAAARACAAATAGAGAATGAGAGTGTGAGAGAGGTGGGGCATCTGGGACTTCCCTGCAAACTCCTAAGGTCTTTTATTTTTCTGTACCTGGCTTGAAGAGATGGCGTTTTGTGATAACAAGAGGATTGATGAAGAAGGAGAGTATTTGCCTTCTTGCTGCAGGTAGCACATTACTTTATGCAAGCACTGTAAACCCATTGCTAATACTACCAAATGACCGTGATCTCAGAGGTCTTCCTGATGATCACTTAAGATCTGGACACCTATCAGTGAGGAAATGCATATGTTTCCTCCCACCCTCCCTCTCTTTCATTGTAATGACTAGTCGGGTAGACTGAGGCTGTAGGAAAACTACCTTTTTTTTTTCCTTAAAAATTGTGTCTAAGCAGCAGACAAAATGGCAGGTTGCCCAGAAATCAGATCCAAGATGCCTGACGTTAACATCAGGCAAGTTAGGTTAGCAGTTGTCTGTGATGATAAGAAAGATAATCATAAAGCAGAGATGAACCCAGAGTACAAAAATAACTCATGCACATAATGAGAATGTCGTAGGCGATTTCTTTATAACTTCTCTGTGAATATCCTTCTCGTGACTCCTCAAGGATTATTTCTTTTCCTTACTCATGCACCTTCCTTTGTTAATAACTGCCATCTATTCAGTTTTTAATTATAATCAGAAGTTAAGCTGACAGTTATATGAAGGAGAAATGAAAGGAAGCATCTAAACCTTACGAGAATTATATTAGTTATTAAACTGGTCTTGCAACAAGGCAGAAAAAACTCATTAATTCTGATGAAATTACATGTGCACACATCTGGATAAGCTTTTGTTTGTTGTATAACCTATGCTACTGCATTGGACTGCAAATGTGAAAATGGTGGAGTGCTGGTGTATACTTTAGTACTGAATTATAGTATGTAGGTTGCCTTGGCTAAATTTACTTTCATTGCCTAYTCCAGCAGGAGAAAAAACAGTACTATAGCCTAGTACTATATGTTTGGGAAAGTTTGTGAGCATATGATAAATCAGGAATGTATATATGTATTATATATATGCTATATATATTTTTTTTTGGAGAGGGGGAGGGAGTAAGTAAACACTCTTAGTAGGGAGGCTTAAATTGAATGCATTTCTCCCAGTGTATCATCTTAGCTGCATTGTTTTGTCTCTGCTTTTTCACAGATACCCGACAGTGAAGGCATGTAACAGGGAGGGAATGTTTTAGTGCCTGTGCTGTGTGTCAGTAGTTTTCTAAGGAGGCTACAGTAATTTGGTAAGATC